TCGCGCTGCTCCTGCGCCGACGCAGACTGTTACAGAGACAGAGGCCGCGTCGCAGGCGACTGGTGCGAGTGCAAGAACCTCGCCACAGAGTGGAGCTGGAGCAAGAATGACAGGCTTGAAGGGGCATACATGGGGAGTTGTGGCAAGCCTGGCTGCATTCGCGCTTTTCTGTCCATGGTAGCTGGACATGAGGGGTGGAAGGCTAGTTGCCTTAGCGGATTCACTCAAACACAAGACTCTTAAACTTCTTCAGGCGCGTGGCCATTTTCAAAGCTATCTGTGTACTTCCCTACCAAGCCGAGCAACATGCCAGCCGCTGCCATTCAGCCGGCCTCACAAGATCGCGGGTGGGACGGGAGGCAAGAGTCGAACTTATTGTGCTCGACCACCAATTAGTATGGTGGGCTGAGTCGCGGGCCAGTCACCATGATCTCAACGCCTTCATGATTGCAGTGTTTGCCTTGTCCATCAAATGCCGTTGCAACGCTCGAACGCGGAGAGGCAGAGCTCGGATTCAATCTAGACGAGCTGTGCGAAGTCTATAAGGACTTTTATTTTCCCGCTTTCAATAATCCGAACTGGTGTAATGGCTAACATTTGACGCTCTCACCGTCAGGCTCAGGGTTCGATTCCCTGGTTCGGAATCGTTTTGTCTTTTTGCTGATCATTCAGCAAAACGGCCGGGGCACATGTAGCTACGTTAGAGCCCCGCCAACCACCAATCCGTACTGGTGTATCGGTTAACATTTGTCGCTTTCAATCCGGAAGCACCGACAGGCGCAGGGTTCGACTCCCTGGTTCGGAAACCAGAAACCAATTGCCCGCAGGGTATTATCTTTTGCTTTTTCTTCGTCAACATCATGACGGTCTTCACGTTCCAAGGCCACGTCCGCGATAATTGGCTTAGCGGAGATTCCCCTTCAAAATGTCCTCCGTGTCTAATCATTTCCGTGCGCTCTGGCACCAGGAGCGTAGACGGACCCACAAAGATACAACAGAGCCTTGACACCGAGTAACATCGTATCTCCGTCATCACCTAGGTTTCGCGTCACATGCTGCGGGCGGTGGGTTCATCACACTGCAACCCATCTCTTCTTTGTTTGCGGAGTTTGCGGAGCGTCACGGGACTTGGCGCTCATGGGTCGGCAAGCGACGCGAGCTAGACCTTGTATGATCTCGACGGTCGTGAACGGGGCCACTTGGGCCAGCTAGCGCACTCACGCATTCTCATCCTTCGGCTACGATAGACCGAACGGGCTTGTTTCTCGGTATGTCTTGGGCCATCAAGCGTGAACCCCTGTGAATCTTGGTGACATGGGCGTGAAATTCTTGAGCTGGTAGTTCGATGCCGCTGATACCGAGCAAGACTTTGTGGTAGGTGAGTAAACATAATCTTTTGGCAAGGACTTGAACACGATGTACTTATTCTGGCGAGCGTAAGCGGTCAAATATTCGCGGTCATGATTGGCTACTCTGTAGACTGTTCTACGTATACACCTTGTCAGGGACATACGGGCCCGGTTCTAGACTCGGTGTGCCTTCATACTTCGGGACTCGGAGGGTCAACTTGGGAAGCTGGTATACCAAGGCTTCCTTCTTATGTGCCGGGGATGGACACGAGATGCAGCATCTACGCTAAGAATCACGAACGAAGACCATCGAGAAGCGGAATATCCACAATACGCCAGCCGTCCATGATGTATATAATCAGAAGCACCCCCATGCCGATGGCATATTACCACCCCCCATTATGTACGTATGCATATATGTTTCCAGTCCCTGAAAGCCCGAGCTTCATTTTTTTCTGTTCAGAACGCCTGTCCCCAAAGCCGAAGTCGACCCCAATGCGCCAGCCCATACACCAGTGCCCCTGTTAATCGGTGGGCTCAGTTCCAGACCATCCCAGTTCGCCCTTCGTCCTTCATCCCATGACCTCCAGCTCCGCATCGATAAACTCCCCAAAACCGGGCGGCAATGCCTGCTTGTCGCCCATCTGCTCTTTGAGAGGTCCCCAGTTCGGTTCCGTTTCGCCGTCGCCGTCGCCAGCGAAGACGGGCGTTGGCGGATATGCCGTGCTCGCAACGGTGGACGCACTCCCGTGCTCGCTGGTGGTGCCCAAGGACTCATCGCCGTCGACGGCCATGCCAGAGTTCCACAGCCTGTGCAGCTGTGTCAAGGGCTGCTGGGCCTCGAGCTCGCGCCGCCCGATGCTGAGGCCGCGCTGGAACCAGGCGGCGTAGTACCACCGGCGTGGGGCGTAGGTAGCGACCTCGCTCCAAAGGATGAAGACCATGAGGGCGGCAGGGCTCTTAGCGCGCAACAGCGCAATGTACTCCTCCTGTAGCATGACGGGCCAGGCAACCATGTGACAGAACATGCGCGGCTTGCCACCAGGCAGCGTCTTAACCCAGGACGACAGCGCGGCGAGGGCCTTTGTAGCAGCGGCGGCTTCAAGGACCTCGCGGTCGCTGTCGCTCGGGCCGGGCCGCAGCCAGGTCTCGAGCTTTGCGATTTTGTCAAGCGTCGCGGGCGCGAGGTCGTCTGGGTCTTGGCCCCAGGCGTCGGCGTCGGCCTGCTGAATCTTGTCGCGCAAGGGGCTGTTCTTCATATATTCGGCGATGGACACGCCGAACTGTCCGCCAACGCGCATGAGCGACAACGTGTCGGCTGGGTTGGGCTGGTAGGGTATGGACATGACGTTCTCGTCGAGGAAGGGTCGGTAGTAGTCGAAGATGCCGTTACACATGGAGAACATGACCAGTAGCACCCAGTTCTCCTCGTTCATCTCTCGAATGGCGAGCCGAAAACAGTTGCTAGCTTGAATCGAGTATTGGTAGGTGAGGGCGTAGTATCGTTTCGGATCTGGAGGCTGGAGGTAGCAAATGTGTAACGCTGATAACGACAGCATGATCTGTTGGATGAATATGTGTCGCGTGGCGAGCTGCGGGATCCACCTAGACCAAACATCGCATTTTGTAGGGTCCGACAAGAGCGAAAAGGTGTGCCATGCGTGGGTGAAGAAGTGATGCTTTAGCTCTGCCTCGTCGGCCCTCCATCGTTCGGCCGGCATGGTGTTGATCAGGGCATCTCGTGAAGAGGCGTGCTCGACGGCGGCAGCGGCGTGTCGCACGACAGCCATGGCGTCGTCATTCCGGGTTGGGATCGGCAGGCCCGTCGTCAGGTCGCTCATGTTCGTCGCCAGCAGGCCAAGATAGCTGCATTGCTCCTGGCGTCTGCGGGCAGTTGGCGCAGACGGGACCGATGCAGTCGCACTGGATAGGTCGCGGGGTCAGCCATCATGTCGACGGCGATGGATACAGGCAACGGACAATTGACATGCTATGCTTCAGTGATGGCAGGGGCAGAGAAGTTTGCTTACCTTGACTCGGCGTTTCTTGCATTGGGTGCAGCCGCTGCGGCTCTTGCCATTGAACCTGCGAGAGCCTTTGGGAGGCATGGCGGGTGGGACCGCGAGAGGGACGTCGCCTGGTCGCGTGGATCGTTGGTCCAACGGCAGTCCTTGGGGCCTGTCGTGTCGTCTTGTTGAATCTGTCGGCAGTTGGCGCGCTCCGAATGCCAGTTGCCCAGCTCTGTGGGAAGGGAGGCTCACATCGAGGTCGATGATATAGTTGGGAGGTTTGGTGGAGAGAGGTTTCGTGCGCGAGAAACGAAGGGGGGATGGATGCACACAGTTGGGTTCGTTACGTTGGCGTGGATGGTAACAGCGCACAATCACAATGGGCTTTGGCTCTGCCTCTGGGGGCAGGCCGTGGGCCAGGGCCGGGTCGTGAGGGGCTTCTTGGCTGTTTTATTAGGTGCTAAAACATTCCATTAGTGGTCTTTTTTCCCGTTTGGTTTCAAAAGGGGGGGGAATTAGGTTTGGGAGTTTTTTTTGGGGGGGGGGGAGGAGGTTGGGGCCCCTACCTTGTTTTCCCTTTGCCGGTCAATAACCACGCAAATAAAAGGGGGGTTGAGGGGACCCCGCCAGGCTTTTTTGGCGTGCCCAGTTCTAGGGTCTCAGGTTCAAGTTCTATCTTCGATGCGCAGGGGGGAGGCAGGGCTTTCTTTTCCCAAGGCGAACAAATCCCCCCGCCCTCAAGGGGGAGAGGGGGGCTATGAGCCCAAGGTTTTTCGGAGGGGAAACCGTGGAAACCCTTGGATGAATGAACAAATGAGGGGAAGAGCCGGGGGGGGGGGGGGGGGGGCTTGTTCGAGGGGGCCTTCTAGGGCCTCTCGCTTCGTCATGGGTGTCATTTTTGGCGCCGGTGGAGGCCGGCAAGTCGACATCCGTATAATTCCCACCCACACACACGCGGTAGTGGTGTCAGGCAGGTTGGGTATGTTGGTCCTCATCGGGAAATGCCAGCTGAATAAACATCAACTGCATCTTCCGGCACCCTTTCGCATCCCATGTCGACTGATTATGGGTTCAACATGACTTGTGTTATTAGATCCAGACGAGGTAAAGATGCTAATGTCAAAATGTCTGAGTTCGGATCAGCCTACCAGGCCCGACCATAATTGTTGGACTGGGGGAAGCTCTCAGATCGGAGCCCCTACGTACTATACCTACCAAGGTAAGTAAATAGGCAAACCCTCGTTGGCGGCGTTCCAGGGATTCCGAGTGCTGCCAAAGTTGCTTTTCATTACGCTGAAGTGCGCGGCCAAATGCAGCGCACCAGCGAGGCTCTAAGACCATCGCCTTCGGGAGGGACGAGATAATCTGCAGGAATGTTCTGCCTCTCCGAGCACTGCACGCTTCCATTTCTTTCCAAGTCAGAAGTTCCTCCTGTGCAAAAGACGCATGGCCGTTGAGAGTTTGCCTACAGTCTTTTTTGAATCGCATCATGTCGTTACTATGAGAGAAAGAGCTGACCTACAGCGATTGAACCTAGGGAGAACCCGATAGACGTTTGACCGGTGCCCAAAGTGGATGCTCGAACGGCGGAGCCAAGTGAAGGGCAAACGAGGCACTTCCTCGAAACAGATCGAAGAGGACCAGCCCCGATGAGGCCCGAGGATGAGATCTGGCGGCAGATAAACATCGCTGTTGCAGGCGCAGCCTCGGTACCATAGTACTATCTGCCCATACACTTATCATGGAACTGCAATTAGGATTCGGAGAAGAAATGCCATATTCTGTGGTTTCAAGCAGTCGACCCAATTTCTTGATCGCCAGTCTGGACATCTCGGGCTCCAAGGTCTATTTCCATGTAAACGAAGAATGGCTGGTTCGTAGAGGCTTGAAGGACCGTTCAACAGGACGTCTCAGAGTTATCTGATTAGACGCCGAGCATTCGCCTTTTGCGACTGATACCTGCAGCTAAGCAGTGTTAGCGGTCCTTCATTAAGAACCTGGATACTGCAAAGTAGTCGTGGAAGTGCGGCGTGTTACAGAGTGTGACGTTCCAGCCGGCACATCCAGCCTGGCCCAGGCGGGGAAAAAAAGTTCTGTTGCACAGAAGTCGCTTCGGACTACACATTGTGTTTGCTGTCAACGAGGAAGGCCGAGATGCCGGATCCGGTGTGATAGTGGCTGCGTCCA